AGTCAGAGAAAGATAAATATCACATGCTCTCTCACACTGATGTTTCTCCCTCTGGGATATAATGAACAATATAAACTGATGAACAAAAACAGATCCAGAGACAAACAAACACTGAACAGACCATCCAACCTCAAAGAAAAGGCGGGGGTGGTGGTGGTGGGGGGAGTGGGGGTAAGAGATCCACCAAAGGACTTGGATGCATGCATATTAGCATAACCAATTGCCATGGACACTGAGGTGGTGGGGCTTGTCCTGGGGGGCAGGAATGGCGGGGGACGAGGGGTCAATAGGAGAAAAGGGAGACATATGTAATACTTTAAACAATAATAAAAAAGAAACAAAAACAAATAAAATAAAATAAAAATACTACTACATACCCCTTTTTTGTAGAGTAATTATTTAACACAGTAAGCATCAAATAAGCAATGACCACTGTGAAGTATGGATTAGGAAAACATCCTAGTAAAGAACATATATTTTTTCTAATGTTTTCAAGCGATTACAGGCATGGCTAAACATAGCCAAATTTAAAAACATTACTTAAAAACTTAATTGTAAGTACATAAAAATGTAGTTATAATACAGTTTCTTTTCCAAAAGTAGTATTACTTCAATTGTGACTAATTTAAAGTACTTACTCTAAAAGAGGTGGAAGTATTTCACAGTTCAAAACAAAATCTCTGCATTCTGCATTGTCACCAGCAATATTACCAAGTGCCCAAACAGCCTCAGAAAAAGAAAAATATTGTTATAACAATATCATAAATAAAATGCTCCCTCTTACCATGAGGTTTTAGTACAGAAGGAACAAAGTTTCCCAGATGTTAAAAAAAAAAATGCTAGTGCCCTAGCTGGTTTGGCTCAGTGAATAGAGTATCAGCCCTCGGACTGAAGGGTACGGTGTTCGATTCTGGTCAAGGGCACATACCTGGGTTGCAGGCTGCAGCCCCCATGCAGGAGGCAGCCAATCAATGTGTCTCACATTGATGTTTCTCTCTCTGTCTCTCCTCCCTTGCACTCTCTTTACAAAAAATCCATGGAAAAATATCCTCGGGTGAGGATTAACAAAAAAATTTAAAAATGCTAGTAGGACAGTAAGAAAGAAAACCTTTAAGTGTTATTTAATCAAACTGAAGGCCAGTACATTTCTAAAGTTTTTCTTACGTACTACTGAAATGTTTATACTATTCTATAAAGAAATACCAATCTTCGAGACAAAATATATCTATTTAGTGAATTTTCCAATTACATAAACTAGAAGTTTGCTCCTATTACAAGGAATCCACTCACTGGGAAGAAACTGATTTGTAAAAGAAGGGAAAGTCAAAGCATAGAAAAGTTAAGTAAAGCTAATAAGAGGAATAGCTTAGACTGATCCTTGACAAAAAGTGTGCAATCAGTCCAGGTTCATTATATTTTTTAAATAAATGGTAGTAAGAGATCAAATTCTTCATTTGTTAAATTTCAATTAGATGAGAAATTATGCAAATGTGAATTATCATTTTATTATATTCTCACGCTCCCACAGAGGGAGTGCCGCTCAGCCAGAAGCCAGGCTCACGGCTGGTGAGTGCAGCCACGGTGCCGGGAATGTCGTACACGGGCACCTCTAGTTTTATTATATTCTCATTTCAAATTCTTCATATAAGCACAAAAATAGACATAAGTTACTCTTTCAATTGGGAAAATTTTATAGTTACGGTTTAAAAGCATGAGTTAATGTCTTTAACATCTACTTTAGTGTGTATGTGTTTTTAAGAAAACTCTTTTAAAATAACTCTCTCCCTCTGTGAAGTCTAATATTCTGTTGGTGAGGATATCAATTGGTATAACTTTTTGGGGGGTCAACTTTGAAATATGAAATAAAAACTCTAAGAAGTTTTCTATTGACAGGGTAAAGTCATTTTTCCCTAATAAAATAATTATGAGGCACATAAAAACTAATATATAACAATGTTATCACAATATTAATAATACTAATAAACTAGAAATAACTCCAATGTATAATTGAGAAATCAATTTCTTGAATGGATGACTAATCAGTAAAATTTTCTTTGAATATAATTAATTCCATAAGAATAAGCTCCCAATATTAGTGTTAAGTGGGAAACTATAAATATATATGTGATCAATTTGCATTAAAAGGATTTAAAACAAAATACCAATACATTTTATTTTGTTTGGATGGCACAAATTTTATGTTTAAAATTTTCCTTGTACAACAACTATAAGAATTTATTCATAAAGTTTATTTTTAAATGGTTCTATTCTAAATCATGTAATGTTTTTAAAAAGGAACAACAAGCCTGACCAGTGTGGCTCAGTGATTGAGCATCGACCCAGGAACCAAGAGGTCATGGATTCGGTTCCTGGTCAGGTTGCAGGTTCAATCCCTAGTAAGGGGTGTGCAGAAGGCAGCCGATCCCTCTCCCTTACTCTCTCTCTCTAAAAATCAATTTTTTAAAAAAGAAACAAAAAAATAATAAATGTTCTTGCAAAGAATAAGGAGTCAGAACAGCGCAGGTTTAAAATTTGGTTCAGCCATTACTGTGACTTTGGGTAAATTACTAACTTTCTGGGTCTCAGTATGCTCTTTTATAAATGGGTATCATACTTCCTTATAGCTGAGATCACATTTATAAATAACCAGGATGATGCCCGAGACAGTTAATTTTCCTTTCCAATTTGACATGATGGAAATCACTGTATTTGTAACAAATACAATACACAGGAAATTTAGTAAAAACAAAATTCAAATCATAATCACCAGTGGTACTTTCATGAGAAAATTAAAAATCTAATAAATATAACAGTTCAAATAGAAACTTACCTGTTCTTGAACATCTTCATGCTCTGAATTTAGAAGTTTGATAAAAATTGGAACAGCCCCTGTTTCAATCACTACCTTGGTATGAAGAAAAGTTCCAGACGCTATATTAGTTAATGCCCAGGCAGCCTCAAACTAAAGAAAAATAAAAGTAGAGTAAATGAAAGCACCAAAGAAATGTCAGAAAAAGAATGGAAGAAGAGTGGAAGGAAAGACTTAGTGGGACAAGTCTGAGATATGGACAGCCTTATATTTAATAAGATTAAATTTGAAATCAGATTTCACAGAAGAAAATAAACCTTAATTTTTAAAAAGAACTCTCAGTCTGGGAAAATAAGAACTAAGGAAAATATAATAAAAATTTACAACTAATGAACCACAAGTGAACACATTTGAATTTGTAATTCACAAAACTCTTAATGTCTATTAGAGAGCCAGATGTTCTAAAGCAAGCAGTTTAAAATTAATGACACACTACTTAAGAGAAAAATATATTTATGAAAACTTAGAACTATAAAAGGTAGTTTCGTTTCCCTAGTGATCATCTAGTCCCAACCTTCTCATTTAAGAAATAAGAAAATTAGAAGTCCAGAGATTTAGGTGATTTGTTCAAGGTTAAAGAGTTCACTATTGACAAGGCCACAAGTAGGACCTCTGGTATTCTTTTAAGCAGCAGAGCCTCTGAGAAGTTAGTTAAATCAATTCACTTAGAATCTGTATATACTTATATGTGATGGATTTATAACAAAAACAACTGAGAAAATTCAATCCATGTCTCCCCCCAAAAAAACACAAAAAACTAAATGACCTGCAAATCCACAGGCTAACTAAGGAGTAACAATTAAGTTATCAGGAATGACTTTATAAACTTTTCCCAAAATTACTAACAGTTCCTAGAAGACAACCATGACCATGGTAAGACAAGTGATACCACCTTTTCCTTTCGTTGCCAAGTACTCACGGAAGCTGACAATATCTTCAGTACTGCAGAAGCTGCTTTCACAAAAAACTTCAATCATGTCATTTCTAGAAAGCAATTAAGAACAAAAACTATAGAACTCACCTGTAAAGTACAATTTTCATTTCTTTCAAGAAATTTCACAAATCTCTGTACAACGCCAGGTTTCTGTATAACTTGATCAATTGGTGGATTAGGTTCTAAAAATTAAAAAAAAATTAAGTTATTACATAGACAAAAAGAGACAATGATCTGGTGTCTGTGTCAATTAACAGGCACACAAAATAACTCTTTCTTAGGTTTCACTGACCAAGTTTAAAATTCTAGCTGGATATAATTGAAGAAAACATATGTTCTTATAATTGCAATGTTTACTGCAAAGCCAATTCTTTTCCAATAACTATAATAACAAGAAAATTTAGGAAAAGGGAGGTGAGGGTAGGTGGGAGTGGGCAAAGGGGGGAGAAATAGGGACAGACAGAGACCATGCTTGGGGCAATGGGTGCACGACGCAGTGTGCTGACGATGTTTTATTGAGCTGTACACCTGAAACTTGTATGGTTTTGTGAACCACTGTCCCCCCCAATAAATTCAATTTAAAAATGATGAAAAATAGATAAATAAATAAATTTATGTGTACAAATATTTAAATTTAATAAGTTGAAGGCTATTAAGGAGTTCACCTTTACAACATGGGAGCTACTTTAATCCCATACTCAAAATACCAGCTGAGAAATAATGTTTCCACTAATTCTTTATAATCATACCCACATTTCCAGGGATGTCTCCATATTAGCCATGAATTGCCTAATGTCTCATTTTCTCAGGGTACTATTTATTATTTACATAAATGCTATTGGACTATCTAGAATTCTTGATAAATTTTCATGAAATGCAGAGGGCTTTTGAGAATCATAAAATATTTAAGAAATTTTAAAACAAAGACATTCAAAATTAAAATAAACAGATCTCAGTTACTCCAATCTAAGTACCAAGAACTCTTTCTTTTCCCTTACTTCAGCAAAAAGTAGACCCTAGGCTTCTCCAGCAACTTCTCTGTTGATGCTCCTTCGGGTTGGTTTTCTCCCTGTTGTCTACTTTCTTTCTAGAAAATTCACCTGTTAATTCACCTGTCCCTGTGATTATCATTTGTCATCATCCACAAATCTAACCCCCATAACTGAATTCTTCTCTCTTAGATTCTAGACCATATTTTAAGTGTCTTTTGCCCCATTTCTTATTCCCAACTTCTTTAAAAATGTAGCATAACCAAAACCAAACTCATAATATCACTGCTTATACCTTCCCCTTGCCCTGTACCCACTACCCAAATTTGTCTATTACTTAGTAATCTGTCCATCTATTATTCACAGAATAAAAAACCTCATTTCCACTTTTAACTCTTCCTTTTCTTCTAAATTCTGGTGTTTGGCTGCATTTCCAATCATAAATAACTCATATATACATGTTAAAATATTGTGTTTAATCAGTAGGATAAATAAAGTGTAACCATAAAAGAGCTGTATAAATCCTGTCATGATATAGAAAAAACTCTATTATACATTTTAAATCAGTGTAAATCTTAGAAATCATGTTCTCAATTGTTAAGGAAGGTTTATTTAGGAATGGGTTTCTTTCTCCCTTCTCTTCTTTTTTCTACAAATTTTCTGTCCTTTTCATTTGTTCAAAAACTAGTTTATTTCTGCCAAGTTGGTAAAGCCATAAACATAAAGTTTTGTTTGGGTGTTCTAAATGAAAAGTCTGAAATCTTCAAAATGTAAATTCTAGATCCTAGCTTAAACTATAATTATAGCTATAAAACATCAACAGGATAAAACAATACATTTGCCTCCACAGCCATGAGCCTGGCTTCTGGATGACCGAAATATATATATATATATATATGCCTAAGCAACTGAACAACTGAATGACTGAATGACTGGTCAAAAGGTTGCTCTGATGCGCACTGACCACCAGGGGGCAGACGCTCAATGCAGGAGCTGCCCCCTGGTGGTCAATGCACTCCCACAGCCAACCTCCTGTGGCACCTTCCCCCAGCTGGCCAACCTCCCGCCACCCCCATCACCAGCCAGGCCAAGGGACCTGGCCTCTAGTATAAAGGTAAGTACAATAGCAGTTATCTGCTTCAGCATTTGGAGAAATTTTTACAAAACTGGGATTTAAGAAAGAACAACTTGTGATTTACATCTACAAAAGTGGCCATGATAGGGAAGTAAATAGGATATTCTAGCAAAATGTCACTATTATGACTTAAATCAGAGTTCTTCTAGTTTTAGCCCCTTTTCCCATATTTCCTAGAGTAACGGACCAAGTAAAATGACAGTAAAACTAACATTTTTCTAGGCCTAAAAGATTTAGCAGGAACTCACAACAAGCAGTATAATTCCTGCTATGTGCCAACTTGGGCAAGCATAATCCCACTATAAAGAAACAGGAAAAAATCATTGGCTCTATGAAAAAGATACTACAGTTTAAAAGAAACAGAATACCATGAGGAATAGGGCAAATGAGGATAAAATATTAAAACTAAAGAATTAGTGGGGAAGTTGTGGTATAAAAACACTGTAGGCATATTCTAACATTCTTAAACAGAATTAAATCTAAATGAATCCTGCTAATTCGTTTTAATATAATGCATATATGAAAAAGAAATCTTGAAAGAGAATATGATAATGTAAAGTACTTTTAAATATTATCCTGATTCAAAAAATAATCCCAATTTCAAAAACAAAAATTGTGGAGTATTTTGAGGAAGAGGAAGCCGTTCTTGGTTATATAAGGATTTCCTAACACTTCTAAGCCACATTAGCTTGGCAGAAATGGAAAACAAAAGTTAAATATATCTGTAAACAAGAACTACAGTAAGAAAGCAAAGGCAAACATCTTGTCATTTATGCTGACCTGAAAATAAAATTTCTTTTACTCCTCATGTGTAACTAAATTCTGTCTCTCTTAGGAAGATAAAGCAGGTAGCCAAGAGCATTTTCAAAATTTTTATCAATTCATATATACAACTCAGTATGATTGGAATTACTAATTCTATAAATTACATAATTAAAATACAAGCGTTAAATTTTTATTTAATAAGTTTTTATAAACTCAACATAAAATTAGACAAATAACAGAGGCAAATTACAAAGGTCAAAAGTTAAAGAAAAATATTCAATTTAAATACTCAAAAAATGCTACATAATGAGCTACTATTACATGAGTATTTTTTCTTTTTATAATCATGCTATTAAGAATACAGTGAGCGCTAGCTGGTTTGGCTCAGTGGATAGAGCATTGGTCTGCGGACTGAAGGGTCTCAGGTTCGATTCCGGTCAAGGGCATGTACCTTGGTTGCAGGCACATCCCCAATAGGAGGTGTGCAGGAGGCAGCTGATCAATGTTTCTCTCTCATCGATGTCTCTAACTCTCTATCTCTCTTCCTTCCTCTCTGTACAAAATTAATAAAATATATATTTTTAAAAAAAATTTTTCTGAAAAAGTGTTTCTATAACTTTGTTTCTTGGCAGTGGGAATAATGATTTCTATATTTGCTTCTGTAATTTTTCTGTTTATATTTGCAAATATTCTATAATCAACATGTGTTACTTTGATAATGTTTAAAAATTGATTTTATTTAAAAACATATTTTAAAGAACAAGACCCTTCTAGCAAAGAAAAGTACTTCAAAAAATACCTTATAAATAAATTCAGTACTACAGAACATTGTAATATCAAATAAGCATACTGAAAACAATTCTTGCCTTTAGAAAGCAGCTTTCTAAATTTCTGTGTCGCTGTTAGTTGTTCATCAGCATTATTAGAAAAAATCATCTGAACCATATCTGCGGTTATAACATCATCCTAAAACACAGAAAAGAAAATATAATTAATTTCATTTAAATACTTTACATAGATAACATCCGAAATAATGTTGAAGTATAATTTGAAATAGATTTTTATAATATCTACCTCTGGAATGGGTACAGTGGAACTGATATCTGGATCCTGAATAGGACTTTCTGGCATAGATTCATCACTTCTGGGCAAAGAGACATTTCTGCGTTTAAACAGCTGTAATAAAGAGAAATCACTCTAACATTGAGTTTTCCATAGAACAGTGGATTCCCACGGAATTATATTTTTTTGTGGAAGTGAATAAACAAGCTTATAATTTTTAAAACTATTAAAAATTCTGGATATTTTAATAATTTCATTTAAAATTATTTAAAATTCTGATTATGTTAATATTTCCCAATCATTATATCATGAAGACCTAAACTGTCTATGAGAAGTTAAATACTTGCTGGACTAGGTTAGCGCTTGTCCTGTAGGCTGTGTCGGGTCAATCTCAGGTCTTATCAAAGGCTAGTCTTGGCTGGGGCGGGGGGAGGCATCGATTGGGGAAAAAGAAGACAAATGTAAAACTTTGGAAAATTAAAAAAATAAAGAAAGGAAGAAAGAAAAAATAAAATAAAATTGGTTTTTATGTCAAATTAAAAAAAGGCCAAAGGACAGTGCAATATAAATTCAGTATGTGGCGCCGAAACCGGTTTGGCTCAGTGGATAGAGCGTTGGCCTGCGGACTGAAAGGTCCCAGGTTCGATTCCGGTCAAGGGCATGTACCTGGGTTGCGGGCACATCCCCAGTAGGAGGTGTGCAGGAGGCAGCTGGTCGATGTTTCTCTCTCATCGATGTTTCCAACT